ACCTAAAAGGTGAAAATAGGGCTCAGTGGTTAAAAGCCCTGGATGTTCTTGCACTTCTGGGTTCAGTTCTCAGGACCCACATGGAGACTAGCCACAGTCCATAACTACAGTTCCAGGGCATCTAATGCCCAGTAAGGTGAAAAAAAATAGCAGGCACTAGGTTTATTCAAGAAATAGTTAATATGTCTAAAATTTTCTTCCAAAAAGGACATCGCAAAAATATATTTATTAATGTAAAATGGTTGTCTTTGTTTAGCAAATATAAATTCCTTATTCTTTATTCTAAGGCAAACTCAAGCTTTTCCATTTGTGAGTCCTTTCCTGGGAGTGTGCTGTGCGTAAAAGAAATTACTTTCTTACAATAATAAGCCAAATGCAATTGATTTATTCCTACAACTTAAAAACAATCACACAAAAATAGGACTAGCATAATATATATAATGTTTATTTAATCTTATTATTGATATTTTTAAACATGTGTATTGTAACAGAATACTTGTAAAATAGTAAGGCCTAAGAAAGTTTAAGACTATAGTTCTTTATTTTTATCTTCGTCTTCAGCCTCCTAAAGTTTGAAAGAATTACTGGCTTTGCAAATTAGGAAAAAGAAGAATTAGTGAATTGTTGTCTCCTAAAATTGCCCAGCTGCCTCTAATTTAGGAAAGATAAATACAGGTTAGAAAGACCATTGGAGGCTGACAAACAGAAGCATTATCAGGAGGCCACGCTGAGGGGGAGGAGAGACTAACAATCTATTTGCAGATGAAGCTCTTGAGAAGTTGAGCAAGTCTTTTCTGAGGAAGTGCCATAGAAAGTTCATGATAACCTCTTCAATATTTATGAATGTAATGACTGCAGTGAATGGGCAGTAGCTGCTCACAGTCAGTGTAGCTGGAAGCTTCTGCAAAGCAACATCCTGTCTCTTTTCAATATATTGAAAGGAAGCAGAAATGACAAGGAGGGCACATGGGTAAAACCAGATACAGGGATTGTTGGAGAAATTCCCACAGATGTCTTGTCATTATTTTACAGTCAGTAACCACACATACCACTAAGCAGGTCACTAATCATTGGAAGATGAACCTAACTTCACACAAGCTAACCCATATAATGCATATATAGGACAATAAGAAATGATTGGGGCCGGAGAGATGCCTCAGTGGTTAAGAGCACTGGCTGTTCTTGCAGAAGACTCAGGTTTGAATCCCAGCACCTACATGACAGGTAACAACCATCTGTAACTCCAGTTCCAGGGGATCCAATGCCCTCTTCTGTCTTCTGTGGGCATTGCACAGCACAGGTACACTTACACACATGCAGGTATAATACTCATAAAAATAAAAAATAAATAAAAATTTTTAAATTATTGTCATAAAATATTTGAGTACACAAACAATACTGATTCAGTTAGCACATATTAAGCATAGCCTGCATCTGTTCTCTAAACTTTTAATAATCCTGTTGCTAAAGTATAACTAACCTCACATCGTAGAGGAGAAACACGGAAAGAATAATTTTTGTGATACTGTCTACTTTGGTTTCTTGAGCATATGGACAATATATTACTAGACATAATTACTAGTCCATACTAAACACATGAAATGTGTACTGAACACATGAATGGGTGAGAGTGACCTTGATAAATGCATAGGATAAGAATGGGAAGGGGCGAAACACAATACCAGGGGAAATTTCAGAACTTTCCAGAATGCCAATCATTTGGCAGGCAACAATAAAAGTACTCCAATCGTTTTTCATTACTTGGCCTTGTATCTAAATCAATTCACAAACCAAAAATTGACATGAAATGCCAAATTCCAGTACACTATTTTATGCATAGCCTAAAACAATTCACTCCTGAGTTTTACAAAACTTTTGTGTGCTACTCAGCTGCTGTTTCCAAATCACTCACATTCACATTCACACCAAGTCACTTGAATCAGCAATGATTAAACATTGCTGAATTCAGTTTTGATATGCTGTTAAATTGTTTTGACAAGATGTAAAAATGTCAACTCTTTAACATCTGAGAACAATTACTCTTAACATGTATATTTTGGGACTGTATTTTAACTCTGCTTTGTATGTGGGAATGAGGAAATTCAAATTCAGCTTGAGTTTCACAAACATCTGGAACAGCTGTCTTCAGGACGACATGGAAGAAAGACTTGGACTCCCTCAATAGAACTACCTCTTCATTGTCTGGAAGATTCATGGCTGAATGTGTGTGTTCCTTTCCTTATTACAAAAATGCCTAACATTTATGGAAATATTTTGTTCTGAATCATCAAGACTAAAATTTGAGTGCGTGTATAGTATATTGAAGTTGGCATTAACTGATAATATTTTAATATTTTACTTGTATTCTATATGTATAAGAAATTACTTTTTAATCTTTAGTGAACTACATTTAGCTGATACAAAGGTTGTTGAAATTTTCTGTAAGCCAAAATATCATTCCATATACTAGTTTTTGACTAAGCTCTTTTTAACAGCTTCTTCTGAAACAGTATCATATTTAAATATATATTCCTGTTTTCTAAGATATAATGTGTGATACTGTTAGACTCTAAAATGATACTTTATCATACCTGTGATATGTTGATGCATTATTTACCTATACACTACTTTTGGAACCAGCAAAGCTACATGTTATAGTGCCCCTAACAAGGCCCCACAGCATATTATGTAGAATATAATTTAGATTTTTCCAGGAACTCTGACTTATAAAATGATGAGACTAAAATAAACTGTAACACCATGTGAAAATGTGTTCTTTTCAAATAGATTTTGGAAGATCTCAACCTGCAGAAAATAGAAACTATTACCTGTTTTTGAGAAAACATTTACAATAGTCAGGTCTCTAAAGAATTACTTGAGAGTCTCAAATTCTAATTCAGTGCAAATATTACTGTGTTCTATGAAGGAATTTCTCCCCTGATTATTAAGACTTTCCAAAATTACTGAATCCAATCCTGACGGGCTGGAAAGTTCTTCATCCAGGATATATGGTGTAATAAAGAAGAAACCAGTCTCAGCTTAGTCCTTGCTCACAGTTGTGATAGTTAATCCCAGTTGTCAACTTGATGAGGCCTCTGGGCCTGACTTTGGGGGTTATCTTGATTATGGAAATTGAGCTAGGAAGACTTACTCACTGTGGGTGGCACCATTCCCTGAGCTAGGATCCTGGACTATATAAAAAGGAGACAGTGATTTGAGCACAAACACTCATCACTCCCTGCTTCTTGACTGTGGATGTGATCTGACCAGCTATCTGAATCTCCTGATGTTATGACTTCCCTGCTGTAATGGGCTACAAGCTCCAACTATAAGTCAAAATAAACCCTTTCTCCTTAAAGTCTCTTTTGTCATGCTATTTTATGCCAGTAACAGGAAAGGTCACTGAGACACCAGAACTACATTTTCTGAAGACAAGATTAGAAGGCAGCATTAAGTAAAATGCTTTACTCAGTGTGCTCTGTGTATTGACCAATGATTTCAGGCATATACTCCCTTTTGTAGGACAGCACTCCAACTGTGGGGTGTCACCTAGGTGGTGCCATAACTGGCTGTTTGGTGGACTTCATTTTGTCAAGACACATATGTTCTATAGACATGTTCTAAGATTAATGATTCTGTGAAAGAACCCCATTGACTCACTCCCTTCTCTGTAATATGAGTTTCTTTGTTGATGACAATGCAACATGTGATACCATAGTGGTGAATTAGGTTTTCTGTAGGTTGGTGAGTGTTTATAGAAAGAAATACTATAAAGAGATGACAAATCAGTGAGTATTAAGTATCTATTTCATGAGACAAATTTTTGCCCAGTCCATAATGGAAAAGTCCAATATAATTAACCACTAGATGGCTTGCTAGTTTCCCTAGGAAATATCATCTTATGGTTTATTATTGACCTGTGTTGTGGGTAGATTAAGTGATCAGCTGTGATGGTAGTAAACTTACTCTTGAAGAAAACTCAAATTCTGCATTAACCCCATAAGCAAACTCTAGCCATACTGGCATAGCTACTTTGGAAATGGGTCTACTGAACAAGCATCAGGAAAGCTAGTGACAGATGCTACTTTCTCTCACAGAAAGAACCATCTCATCCACGTGATTAATGGCAGTCTCCCCTGCCATGAATGGTCCCTGGAATACATAGGGCATGTCTATCCCCTGTTTCTGAACTCCTTGTCCCCAGTTTTCTAACAGTCTTTCTACAGTTGTTGCCAGTTGGTCACCTGTCAGGAACTCGATAAAGATCTCAATAGAGCTATACCATCAGCTTTTCCCAGTTCCACAAAATTATGGCAACCAAATAGAAAGACTGGCTTTCTGTCTCCTGGGATGTGTTGGATAGCTTTAGTGTCAACTTGACACACCTGAGTAGAGGGAACCTCAGTTGGGGAATTGCCTCCATTGGACTGGCCTGTGTCCATGTCCATGGGGCACCTTCTTGATTGTTGAGTGATGTGGGAGGCCCCAGCCCACTGTAGGTAGTACCACACCTGGGCAGGTAGGCCTGTGTTACATAAGAAAGGCTGATCAGGGGCCAGGGGAGCAATCCAGTAAGCAGTGATCCTCCATGGCCTGTGCTCCAGCTCCTGCCTCCAAGTTCCTGCCCTGAAGCTCCTACCTTGGGCTCCCAGATGAACTGTGACCTGGGATATGTAAGCTAAATAAACCCTTTTTCTCCCCAAGTTGGTAGTGGTCAGAGTGTTTTGTCACAGCAATGGAGAAAAAACTAGGACATGGGAGGAGTCTCCCTGTCTCTTCATCTCAGTCTTCCATGGTCACCTCATATGGAGATGAAGACAACTGCTGGAAGGTATGCAATCCTGGCCGTAAACCAGGCAATCTACTGACTGGGTCCCTCTGCAAAGCAGTTCATTTTCAAATTTCATTTACATGACTGTGGGGGAATACCCAAAAAGCTGGAGACACTAATTAAAAGGAATAAGTCAGAAAATGAGAAAGAAGGACATCATGAGCTTTTTAAAAATATGCAATGATTCATGAATTAGCGTGTCATCCTTGTACAGGGGCCATGCTAATCTCTGTATTGTTCCAATTTTAGTATATGTGCTACTGAAGTGAGCACATACCGTGAGATTCTGAACTACTTGCTTTATGCAATTTATCTATAACTTCCAGACCTGAGGCATTAACATATCTATATCCACATCATCTGATCTATCATCTATCTCCAGCTAGGTAGCCATCATCAACCCACAAATCAAGTATTTTCACATTATATGAAGTTAGTCTATGCATAGTCAACCTTATGTTGGATGATTTGGCTGCATACAGTCTATGATGGGCATTTTGAATAATGTAGTCACTCAGTGACTCATGACAAGGTATTGAGTTTCTACCAATACCCAAAAAAAGATCAGTGGGATGAGAATGTTCGTTGGCAGCAGAGTTCAAGAGCTTGCCCCTGTACTATTGGAGCCTATTGTTCTCAAGTGGGATTTGTCTTCTCTCGCTCTCTCACTCTCTCTCTTTCTCTGTCTCTCTCTCTCTGTCTCTGTCTCTCTCTGTCTCTCTCTCTCTCTGTACTATTGGAGCCTATTGTTCTCAAGTGGAATTTGTCTTCTCTCGCTCTCTCACTCTCTCTCTTTCTCTGTCTCTCTGTCTCTGTCTCTGTCTCTCTCTCTCTCTCTCTCTCTCTGTCTCGACATGCTCAATACTATTGCATCTGCTCAGTCACATAGCAGAAAGCTTGTATGGACATAATGCCTTTTCCCTACTCAAGAATATCAGCCTTAGCTTAATGTGGTATCACATGCCTATAACTCCAGCATTCAAGAAACTGAAGCAGGAGGACTTCTCTGAGTTCAAGGCTATCTTGGGCTACATGGTGAGTTTGAGGCCAGTCGTGGCTACTTAGTGAGGTCCTATCACAAAAAAATAACAACAGTAAAAAAAGACCTCCAGTAGGTGAGAGTAGCTTATCTGAAAGTAGTATATACTGCCTCCGGATTCTAGAAATCCACTAAGCATTGTGACTTTATAGAGGGCAATACAAAGTGCAGCTAATGATATATAGTAAAGAGAAGGAATCTGAACATGCACAGCTACATTAGTTTTGAATGGGAAAAATAATATTAAAAATTCTTGAGATATAGTTAATAGGTGATTAACTATTACTAGAGACCATAAAGTGTTTAAGAACAGTAGATATACACAGTACCCATTACCTGTAAGGGTGGTGGCAGGTTACATATGGAAAAAGCAAATTTGGAAAGATGCCCCACTTAAGCCTGTGATTCAGACTTATAAAGAATGTAGCCTTGGTAGAGAAATTTGTTATGGCACTGTAAGCTGGTGCTGGTAAGCAGAAAACTGCCTTCAAGGCTTTCAGCAAGAATCACCTGGAAGGTTTACATTAAGATGTTAATAAAACTTACTAAAGAATAAATGCCATCAATGCATTTTCCAATCACCCAAAAAAGAGCTAGAAAAGCTTGCTGGGCAGTGTATACCACTAGGTGTTCTTGTTCCTCAAAACACACTGAAGGAACATAGTGAAAAAGCATGTGGAAACCAAGAAGACAAGGTCCTTGGTACATTGTCCCTCCAGCTCCCTCCACTGATAGTACTTAGCATATTCCCACATGACAAAAGAGAAATACTTATAGAGTCCTGCTTGAGTATCACAACAAAGGCAAAGAAGGGTAAATTGGAAGCTGATAGGTAACAGCATGAAAACTGGGCCAGTTGATACTTCTGGCTCCTTAGCTCCTCCCTGTAGCCTTGTACCTAAATTTGATGTCCTGTGTTTACACTTAACAGGATAAGCCTTCCTTCATAAACATGACTTTCTTACCCTTCCTCCCATTAGGAGTCTCAACTATTATATCAATCTATCACTAGTTATATATTATTTACATCTCAAACTCAGTCTCAATGTGACTGGATTGGTATCTACAGAATAGATTGTAAATTTAACCTGTAAAAACTACATAAATAGAAAAGGAAAATGTGAATTGCTAGCATGAATAATAAAACATATATAATAAGCAAAGAGAAAAGATATAAATCCACTACAGCTATCATTCCTGTAACTGATTCAAAGCTCTAGTTGATATATATGACATCCTTTTTTTCACTGCCTAGTCCCTACTCTCTGTCTTCAGCCACTCACAGCTGCTCAGAATTATTTATCTGATAAACAATTTTTTTTCTTTACATGTAATTGAATCCTCAATGATCTAGCTTTATCTTGTTGCTGTAGATCTCCACTTACCTTTGTTTTTGTGCAAAAAAAAAAAAATGTTACTCTGGGCTCTACACCCTGACTACGAAACATCTGCATGATTTCTGCCTAGAAATTGATTTAAATCACTCCAGACTGTGTACTAGGCTCCTGAATTCTCAAGAAGTCTAGCTCCCACTCTCTAACATGAATAAGTCTTACTAAGACTTGAAGGGCGCTTATATTTCAGGATTACTAAAGCCAATATGGCAAATAATGCAACGGGTCAGCATACTGTTCTATGGATATCAAGCCCACGCATGTCCCTCTGGATTCTGAGGAAGAGGAAAATTGAAAGAGACCTGAGGTAAGGTAATGAAGACTGACTGCTATCTCAGCCTCATGGAAGATATTCAGTAGTAATGTGTAGATTTGCTCCAATAAAGATGACATATCTATAAATACAACTGCAATCAGCACCATCACCAGATTGCCCTTATGATACCCTGATTTTCCTTTGAGACTTGGTAAGATTTACATCAGCTTAAAGTTTCAGTCAATGGGAATGTGGTGGGAATCGTCATCTTTCCAGTCATCAGTGTCATCAGTTCACTCATGGATGCAGTGCTACTTTATTCTTTCTGCAGGGTGCGTGGATGGTGGTAATTTTTAAGGCTTCCATATGGCCTTTCCTACTGTAACTGTAAAAACCCTCACCATATAGGGCAGAAAATATATGTGAGAATATTGTCAGAAACTGCTTATAGTCTGTTTTATGTTCTAGGACTGGGGTAATGAACACAGAATGAGTCTGCCATTACAATGACTCTATTAGTGAAGGTATTTAGGCAAAGAATCAATATATCAACTATCATAGATCCCCTACTCTGACCAGTAGGCCATAATAATGCTTTGAATGTAGAGATCAGAGTCATTTTGTAGCCAATTTCTAAGAATCCCCAGAAGCTTTGGGAATTTACCTTTTCTCAGGGTAATCTCTCTTGGTAAACAGCACAGCTAGTCCTAGAGAAGACACGGAGGAGCATTCACAGTAAACACCCTCAGTGCCCCTCCATTTATGTCTGTGAATAGGCTTCCTCTGAGTATGTTGTAAATGATTGTGGTTCTCCACTCCAGTACTTTAAGCACATTATTTGGCCCTTTGGAGCTAAAAATTTCTCTGCTTAGATACATTAAACAGAATGATAGCAGACTGCAATAATGGGTTGGGCAGTAGTCTCTACAAAGATATTTACATGGCCTGGCACTCAGACCCTGTGAATGCAACCTTATTTTTGATAAAGGGTCTTCATACATAGAACTAAACTGAGCAGAATCTAGATATAAGATCGGGGATTGGAGCAGTGGCTCAGAGGTTAAGAGTGCTTGTTGTTCTTGCAAAGAATGCAAATTTGGTTCTCAATGCCCACATGGCAACTCAAAACCACCTGTAACCAGTTCCAGGGGACCTGAAGCTGTTCTGTCTTCGACAGGCACTAGGCATGAGCATAGTGCATATACATTTATGCAGGCAAACACACATATATATATAAACTAAAAGTAACTACATCTTTAGTCATGAAATCATCCTGGATTAGGTGGGTTGGCTCCAAATCTAATGATGGGTGTCATTGTAAGACACAGATATGTGGTAGAAAGAGGCAATGTAATCCCAGAAACAGAAGTATGGGTGGTGCAGCCAAGAAAGCAAAGGGTGCTGAAAGCCACCAGAGGCCACCAGAGGCAGGGCTTGATATCCCATATGAATTCCAGAGGAGGCTGGGGCCTTAGTATGGTGGTGGAGAGCTTGCCTAGATACACAAGTCCTTGAATTAGATCCCTAGTATCCAAACACAAATTAAGAGTCCAGAGGGAGTGCAACTCTGCTGACACCTTAAAGACCTCTGACTTCCAGAACAGGAAGAAAATATGCTTCTGTTGTATTAAGCTGCCAAAATAATGTTAATTTGCTATGATAACCCTGGTAAACTAGTACAGCTACATGTTTAATCTTTATGGATCTGATTATGAATGTCACAAATTATCAGTCATCCTTGCTATAAGTCCTAACAGGGCCAAAAAGATCTGTCTCTAGAAGCTTCTTTTTGCAACTTAAGAAAAAGAAGCCACAACGCAGAAAATAAATGATCTTGGGCTCCCAGCCCCAACTGATAAGTCTAAAATATAACCCCTACACTAAAGGTTCAGGAAATATTGCAGGAGAGGAGGTTGGGATGATTCTAAGAGCCAGAAGACCAGAATACCTGTGGTTAATAATGTCCTTAAGACATAACAGGGAGAGTCTGAGAGGGTGGGTTCTGATCTCCATCGGTGTAGTGGCTCTGATCTCAGCAGACAGCCAGAGAGTGCCGAGTTCTGGCCTCCCTCTGGCCTCATTCTGACAGAAGGGCTGAGAACACAGGAGACTGCCTGAGAGCCCGCAGATCCTGCCTCCACGTGGTGATGAGCTTCCCCTAATTGCACCATACCCAACCTACTGCCTGGGATTTCATGAGGCCCCTCCCAAGGCCCCAGGGCAGATCTGGCTTTGGTAGGCTAAGGCTGAGATCCTAGCAGACAGAGAGGTTAAACTACCTGAGAACGTCCAGATCCTGCCTCCACATGGTGAAGGAAGCCTGAGTGTACCTGACTGGAACCTGAATTGGGCTTGTGTGGGTGCTCCTGAATAGCCTATCTGAAGCCATCAGTTCCCTCCAAATTAAACCTGAGAGAACCTGAACCCTGTATCAACCAGTTTTACATAACCAATAAGAAAGGATCTAGGCACCGGAATAGTACAAACAGAAGCATACTTCACCTTAATTCTCATATCAGAATCATAAACAACAAAAGAAATTCACATGCCAAAATCACAACGAAAGAATAATAAAATGGAAAGC